TGAACACTCAGATACCTAACTGACCTTCACAGACAAAAATACTAGACAATCTTCTCCCATTAACTTCTCAATATCTATCTGTGCAACTCTACAGTGGTGACTAGAGGAGGGGCCTGAGTGAGTGGACAACCCCGCCCACTACTAGAGGCTTCCACGGTACACACACACTGCCTGTGCAACAAGGAGAGTGGCCAATCGGCCACAGTATTAGCTTTGTTTCAAAGTGGTGGTTTTTGTCTCTGCTTTTATATTGCTTCTGCTTTGGGGACTTTTGATCACACATTTTTCCTTGAGGTGGGAGCTCTTTCTCCCTATGTTACCCAAGAAGAGTCAGCAATCATGGACATAAACAGCCAACCTACAAGCATACGCCATAATATTCCACCACTGAGACAAGAGCTAATAACCACTGTTAAGCATTACATGCAAAAATGAAAGCCTATCTCCTGATCATATCTACCAGGAGACACCAGTAAGCTTAATAACACAGAAACAAACACCCATTAAACAATAAAAACCCACATAACTACTGGAAATTACCAACATAAACACAACAAAAGGTATCAAAACATGTACAAAATCAGAAAAGAATAACTGAGACAAATAAGCTAGAGACAGACAAAGGCTTTCCAGAAGAGGATGAGCAGGTTTTGGATTTGTCTGAAAAGGAATTCAGAAGAATGATATGGAAACAAATTCAAATGCTCCGAAAAGGGGTGGAGGAAAACAAGAAGTCAAAAAATACTACAACAGCAATCAAACAAGATTAATACAGCATTGGAAACTATTCAAAACCTTCAAAAAGAGGTCCAGATGATTAATAATAAAATATCAGAAATGAACAATATCCTGAAAGGGAAAGGGGCAGAATTGAAGAGATGGAAGCCAGAACCAGCAAGCTGGATGACAAATCTCTCAACACTGGTAAGATAGGAGAGCAAGCAAAAAAAAGGTTAAAAAAAATCTGAACAAAGTCAAAGATCCATGCTGGATAACATGAAGAGAGAAGAACAACTTAAGAATTAATAACTCACATTAGAAACCACATGGGTGATGTCACAAAGGAGCCAAACAAAATCAAAAGGATAATCATAGACTACTATGAAGAGTTGTACTCCAACAAATTCGGAAACTTAGGAAAGATGGATACATTTTTAGAAAAACACATATCTAAACTTACACAGAGTGAAGGAGAAAACTTGAACAGACCCATAACAAAAGGAAAAACTGATCATGTCATCAAACAACTCCCAACCAAAAGAAGTCCAGGCCTAGAGATGGCTTCACGGGTGAGTTCTACCAAACATTCACGGAAGAGCTGTCACCAATTCTACTCAAGTTATTCCAGAATATAGAAGAGGATGGAAAACTTCCTAATGCTTTTTATGAAGCAAGCATAACCCTCATACAAAAACCAGGGAATGTACCCATTGAGTAGTTTTCATCTTGTCTAGATAGGTCTGGTTAAAAGAGATGGGGATAAAATTCTTATGATTCAATAGTGAGTAATTGTTATCATGACTAATTGTGTCTGTCACAATTGTAAAGATAGAAATTTTGTAACCAAAATGGGGGAGTTGTTAATCTTACAGTCCAGGAACAGAAGACCCTACAACCATCAAGGGAGAAGAGCACAAGCAGAATGTGGGACCCTATCTAGAGAAGCAGCAACACCAGAGATGGAGGCAGAGAAGGGGACATGGAGAGAGGGAGCAGCTGATGACTCTAGATTCATGTGAAGAGAGGAACTGAGAGCTGGCAGCCAGGAAGCAGACTTGCAGAATGTGCCCTTTGGAGATTTAAATTATTATATATGCCTGAGTATTTTTTTAAACTAAAAAAAAAAAAGAGCTAAAATGAATAGTAAGAAATACTGTTAACTGAAGGTACATGGAGATTATAATCATTGTAATGAAACAAAGTGTATTATTTGTTGAATATAAAACTGATGATCTGCTCTATAAACTTTCATTCAAATCACAATAAAAACTTAAAAAAAAAAACAGGGAATGACATCACTAAGAAAGGAAATTATAGACCAACATCCCTCATGAACATAGATGCAAAAATTCTCAACAGAATCCAGCACCACATCAAAAAAATAATATATCATGATCAAGTGGGTTTCATAAAAGGGATGCAAGGATGGTTCAACATTAGAAAAACTATCAGTGAAATCCACCATATAAATAAGAAAAAAGAAAAGAACTAC